GACTTGTGTTGCTAAAGTTTCGTCGGAACGAAGTTACAGAAAGTTAATTAACAAACGGAGACGTAACAATATGATAAATTAAAAGAACTTCTCATTAGTTTACTGACAGAACTGTAAGTCTGTGTACTTAGAAGTTTCATATGGCTTGTTACCTGCTGAAACTGTGAATGGATAGTTCCATCAGCTTTCCCACAGGCTTGTTCAAACTTCTCAGGACTAATACCCAAGTCTTCCATATGGCTGCCCAACATAAAATCCACCTAAAAAAATAAATGTAAAAACTCTAAAACATTCCCTTGAAGGTAAAAGTATATTTAATAACCTCTGTAAATAGAATAGCACAGAGGTACTTTTACATTTAAATCTCTGTCAAATCAAAAGATGGTATTCTGAATTATCATAAATAGCTCTAGTCACCTTAGATGTAAGATGTAGGAAGTCTGATGTCAAATCCTCATATAAGGACAGCTGACCACCTCACTTACAAGAACTGTATGACCAGAGCTGTGGAAGTCTTAAAACTGATATATGTCTTAGATTACATGACTTGATCATGCAACATCAAGATACTTTCTCCAGTGGACCTCACAAGTTAGGCTGAACAAATAAAATATCTCATAAGATTGATACTGGAGATGCAGCTCTAATACATCAGTTAGCCAAATGACTTCCACTTGCATAACAAGCTGAAACTTTCAAAGAAATAGAAGCCACAAAGAAACAAGGAGAGATAGAACTGACTAATAGTCCTTGGACTTTGCTTACTGTACTTGTGAAGAAGAAGAAGAATGGATCCAAAAGGCTTTTTGTGGACTACCAGAAAGTGAATGAAGTCACAAAGAAGAATGCCTGCCCATTGCCAAGGATTGACTCTACCTTTGGATGCTTCACCTGGATCAAGATAGTTTTCCACATTGGATCTTAAGAGTGGATATTGGCAAGTTAAGTAAGTAGAAAGAAGACAGCCTTTACTGCAAGAAATGGATAATGAAAATCTTTTTGTTACCAGTTGGATTATGCAATGTGCCAGATACATTTCAATGACTAATGAAGTGTGCTCTCTCTGAAGTACCCTGGAATGTCAAAAACTCATCTACCTGGATGACATAATCACACATGAGAAATTCTTCAATAATGCTTATGATGGGCTAAGGAAACTTCAGAATCAGTTGAGGAAGAACCTTAAGCTAAATTCCAAGAAGTGTGAATTGTCCCATCAACAAATGGGTTTCCTAGGATACAAAGTCAGTAGAAAGGGAGATTCTACTACTATGCATACTCATCTAAAATTGAATCTGTTTAGTATTGGCCAACACCACAGATTTTACATGAGGTAAGAGGATTTCTTAGACTACATTCTTACTACTGTCATTTTGTAAAATCCTTCTATGACATAGCTCGTCCTCTAACAAATTACTTGAAGATTCAAATATGTTTTGTTGAACTGCTGATTATGAACGAGTATTCAACAAACTGAAGAAAATATTACCAATACTTCTTTATTAGCATACCCAATTCTTGAAGATCCACTCATTTTATATACAAATGCTAATGATTTTGCAATGAGAGAAGTGTTATCACAAGTACAACATGAGTGATTCAGTTCAGTGTTAGTAATTAATAGTATCACATCTATTAGCAAGTACATTCCATAAGTAAGTTTATTTGAAAGTTAGGTGTAGATAACATTAGTATTGTAGTTTCTGTTGAAACACTGTTTGCAAACTTAAGCCTTCAAGGATTGTTTGTTTTTAGTAGTTAAGCATAAAACTACACAATAGGCTATCTGTGCTTGCCACCACAGGTAATGAAACCTGGTTTCTAGCATTGTAAGCCTTCAGACTTACCACTGGGAGAAGACCTTCAAGGAATGTAGCCTGTATCAAAGGTTACTGAATAAATAAAGTAAACTGTTATCATTACATGGACAGAAGATGACTTTTTTTTTATACCAAATCATATTCGCATGCAAAAACTTTTCAGTAAAAAATGTTTAACAACTGGGAAGGAAAATATTTTTATTTAGATGAGACCTAAATGAAACCTTATTTCTAAATACATAAAATAAAAATTAGTTAAAAAATAAACAATAGCTTCAATATTATTTTGTAAAGATTAACTCTGGTAAAGAATCATGAATGCTGCTGATATTTTTACAAAATAGTATTCAGAAAGTTGCAGCAACCAACAAGTTAATTTTATGATGACATTGTACACCTTTAATAACATTAATTAATTTGAATCATATGATTAGCTTAACAATTGTTAACCTGTAACTCAAGAATACTACAGTGTGAATTCATCATTAGTCTTCACTACTTACCATATTTTTAAATTCATGAACTTACCAGATTTTTATATTCTTCATGAATTTTCTTATATTCATCTTCATTTTCAGTTCCTGGTTCAAATACTAAAACAACAATTCCAGTTTAAATAAAAGGATGTACAATTTCATTGATGCTTAATGCATGGCTGTAATTTTGCACAAGTATGTATTTTTAACTTAAGAACTACAGTTACTGAGTTAGCATGCCATCAAATGTTACTTTTCATATCAAAGATATATTAAAACTTCAATAAAATCTGTTTTTAAATTAACAAATCAATGCACTTCAATAACATTTTTATAAAGGAATTTACAAATCGTCAAACAAATATTAAATGTGTGTGTGTGTGTATGTGTAAAGTAAAATTAAACATTACATAAATTATTAAACTAAGTCAAATTGAGACAAAAACGTACAAGTTTCTTCATATTGCCACTACTACTACTACTTTTACTTAAAAATAAAATAAGTTACAATGGTCAATCGTGAAACTATGGTGCATTTCCATAAGTCTCCTTATTGTATAAACATTTACTAATACCATAAAATTAATTGTTATAGGTGGACTATACCAACATGTTTAATGTTCTGAAGAAATAAATAGTTGAGGAATAAATTGAAATTTTGACGTACTCAAACCAATAACTCATAATTAATGCCCTAATCAATGGTCACAGCTATAGTTTATATACCCTCGTCAAAAACTATAGCTTGAAAAAAATTCGAAAAATAGATAAGTCCACGCTTAGGTCTATGGGATACCACTGTGAGTCTATGACTTACAAAACTTATAAGCTCGTCATAACTTCAACGTTATTTACCTGCTGACTTATGTTCAAGGAAAGTTTGAATTGGAATATTCCATATAGGACCTTTTAAAAACTCAATTAATGAATCAAAAATCCATTTCAACTGTTCATCTGCCATTGCTACGATAAATATATTGAAATCTAATGTAGGTTAAGATTTATAATAACAAGTAATGCCAAAGTGAAATGCGTTGCCGTTGCAGCTGTCTGTTGTTTATAAGTACGTTCGCGGAGTTCTTTGGTTGCTATGGGAATATGGCACAATAACATTCAAAGGCAGGTGGTCATATATCTAGCGCAAAAATGATGCCCATTATGTTTTACACATACATAATATATCTAAATTGAGTGTCTCAGACATTTACATCGGTCAACTACGTTGAATGTTTTTACAGAGATGAAAACAAATTCAAGACCCAAATTTTGGAATACCATATAATCTCATTGCGCAGGTCTCACTGCCCCTTAGAAACAGTACATTTACGGACTTACAACGGCAAAATTCGGGATTCGATTCCCCACGGTAGACAAAGCGCATATTGCCCATTGTGTTGCTGTGCATTAAAAAACAAACAAATAAACTATAACACTGCGTTTCACCGTTTCACAAGTATTTTAGAAAAATAGGAATGTTTGTATTATTCTTCTGAAAATGGTAGAACGATAGTATTGTTACGTCTCTGGCCGTTTGTTAATTTCCCGGTATAAATTCTTCCCGAGGAACTTCAGCGACACAAGTCCTGTCTTAAATAAAACTAGTTTATTTTTTCTCAATACAACTTTGCAATACACAGAATTTCCACAGTCACTTTAACTTAAACACACGCTATACTTCACAACGATTCACGCACTTTACTTACGGTCACTACCGCTCGCTTGACTCAATTATCTGTTTCAAAATCTCTTTTCAATCTGCTATTATATCTCCGCTTGATTTGCCGGGCTTATATATTAAAATAGAGGGCGCCTAGAAAAGACTAGAGTT